CCGGGATTTTTCAAAACTTAAATCCCGGGATCGGGATCAGAACGGAAATTTCGGGATCCCGGGATCCCGTGCAAACTCTATTCATGATCATGTTATATGAACTAAAAGAAAAAAACCAAGTTTCTAAGTTCAACAACTTGGAATTGCTAAATTTTTGATGCATCAACTGAAATTGCTCAAGAGCGAATAACCTTAATGCCATCATCGCAGTCGTGATAAATATTCACTTTCGGTTTAAAAGGGCCGTTTGTGTTCACAAATCCTGTGATTGAAAATTCTCCGTCATCGCTCGATTTCACCTCAGACAATTTTTCGTCGAATGTACCACCTGAAATTAAGTAGTACTGCTTATGAATAAAGATCTTAGTTTAACACTGAAAAGACATGCTCAAATTAGTTTTCAAGGTACACTTGCTGGCTGACAATAAGAGAATTGCTGCTTTCCGAATGACGCGAATTTTTCAAAAACCTGCTGCCATCAAAAAATGAGTGATAACCCGAATATTTGTATTGTAGTGCTCCGAATTTCTCAGAAATAAAATGTTAATCGCATGCAATCTGACACGCTTCTTTGCCTCAATTTCATCATTACAGAACCAGAGTATGACAGCATTCATCATCATNAGAGTATGACAGCATTCATCATCATCGTCCTTCCCTACATGTCATTCATATCACTCGCATAAACTATGTTTTATATCCGTCTGGAAAAATCAAGAATCCAGAACGTAACATCGCAGAAACTCACTTTCACGAACGTCATAAAGTTTAATTTGAATTCCCCCGGCTGGTTCATTATTGCATATCAGCAGACCCTTTGCACCAGCGCTTTGGAACGTAGCGTCGATAATCGAAACAACTCCAAATATTGTGATGAGAGATAAACTGTGCAAACAGTACATCTTCACAGAGTTAAGCAATCACCACGTTACCTAAAATGGTATGGTTTTGTGATGCCTAAGATCATTTTAAGTCACATTAAAATTCTCAAGACAATTTCAACAATTGAATGTATGAACGCTAGTTAAGATAAGTGCTTTGAACAAAGCGTTGAAACGAAGTGACCTTTGGGGTGCACATTCACTGTAAAATTGACTCGTACATGAAAACACGGGAATGAATAAAATAAATCGAACACTATCAAAACCATTATCTGCTAGTTGCATGTCGTGATGATTGCATGAAGCACACAGTGAAACTGCGTGACATGCCTTTTCACGTGAGAGTTTCATTCTGAACGCTAAATGCATAAACCTCGTGCTATTCTAATAAATGAACTAAATATGCTAGCGTCATGCCTTAAGCAGCTAACTCACCGACGCAAAGCAACAAAAATACCATCAGAACATGGGAACATCGACGACTCGAAGTGTTTAGCAATAAGCGAATGTACTCAGTACATCAGAATGCAGCAACAAAACGTACGTTTGAATGAATTTAAAGAGAAAGCGCTCTTGAAATACGCAATAGTAACACCTCGTTATCGGTTTATAATGAAATTTTTTCAGTCAATTAACCTATTGGTGTGGATGTTCTGATGGAGGAATTATTTTTTGAATGGAGCATTTCAACAACTAATTGCCGATCAAAGGACTGGAATAAAACCGGAATCTTCATCATAGACTAAAAACTAATGGTTTTTAATCCGATATCGAGGAAAATAATGATGCCTGATTAGGTATCTCAATCAGCGCTCCGTCAGATATGAGATGTTCAAAAAACAAAATAATTTTTTTTTTGTTTCACAATGAAATTGGACATTTGAGTATGTGGGGCTTATT